TAGAGGGATAATGGGGGGAAATAGGGGAAGGTCCACTGAGGAACATGTATAAAGGACACATGGACAAAGCCACAGGGGGTAGGTTCGAGGGTGGGGGGCAGGGATGGGTGGGACGGGGGACTGAGGTTGGGTGAAAATGGAGACAACTGTACTTGAACAACAGTAAAAAAAAAAAAGGAAAAATAAAATAAATAAAAAGACTGCAATCTCTTACCTTTTCTCCTTCCACTGCAAAATGGTATTTTGTCAGTGAAATCATGACTGTCACTTTATCATCATCATCATCATCATTACTATAAGAAATGTAAAAGGACACATGTAGTCCACAACTTCAGTTAATATTTAAAAAGACAGTGAAAATTAGCATCACAACACCAGACAATGGTACAGGTACATTGTCTAGCTATAATGGCAGAGTATCTCCTGGGATCACAGTTGCTTCAGGATTTTTAAATAACTAGAGCCCAGCAAGTTGGCAACAGACAAGTTTCATGGAAAAGATGAATGCTAAGGAGTGTTTAAAAAGGAATCACGGGTTATGTGAAAAGGGGGAAGGATTAAAGATTAAAGGATCACCTTAGTTGGCTCGTTAGGGGCAGGAGCTGACAAGATATGGCCATGAGGACATTGTCCCCTGCAACAGACATATGGGCCCAGATGTAGCTAGAGGTGAGGACACTCGGGCAGGGTGAAACCATCCATGAGGCTTGTCGCCACTAAGAGGCCCTGTGAATTTTTCCAGATGTAGATTTCTTCTGACTGTATGAAAAAGAAAATACAAATTTAGAGAAGGGTGCATGATGACCTAGGAAAGAAGCAAGAGGAAGTTTGTCTAGGGAACTTGACTATTGGGAGTCGGTCACATTTCTGGTGGTCACAGACTATGACCATTTCTGCTCTTTTTGTAGAAAGTGCTCTCATTCTAGCATAACTCTAAAAGTATTTTCCTTTTATTAACTTATTTTTCAATTATATACCTTATGAATTGGTCACTCAGATAAGTCTAATACCCACCTGACACCATACACAATTATTACACTATTATTGACTATATTCCCTATGCTTACTTTATATCCCTGTGACTATTTTTAAACTAAAAGCCTTTTGTAACTGCCTCATGTTTTGATAATCTCTTTCTGTTATTCTGAACAGAATTTTAAATATCTTACTCTTTCCTTAAAACGAGGAATATCTTTATTAGTCTATTAAAAACATGAGAATTCTGAACCTCTCTGTATAATAATAGGTGGTAACAATCACCAAAATGTTGGTTTAGCTCTTAATGTGTTCAAATTTAATTTAAATTTTGTTCAAATTTTAATGAACCAATTGTTCATTACACTTAAGTGATTGACCATTTGAAACATTTTGGTCCAACACAATAGATCCCAAAGTTCTTTGCTTCCCAGAGAACTGAATTTTGACTATGGATGTCTAAGCCTTTAAAACACCCAACTGAAGTCTGAACTGTCATAGTAGCTGGGTAAGAGATAAGAGGTAAGAAAAGTAGCCAGTCATCCAACCACATTTCTGCTTTTTTTTTGTACAAGCTTCAGATGAAATACAGTCACTCAATAAAGTCCTTCTGTTTCTCTTTCCCTCCCTCCCTTTCTCTTTCCCCATTTGCCTGGAGAGGGGAACCCTAAACCCTGGAACCCTGCCAGCAACACCAAAAGAATCTCTTGACTATTTTCCCAGGGAATTCCTGCCTTAAATGTCAGCAGAGTACAACTCCCAGCCAAAGCAGAGTCTGCCTGGGTCTGAATCAAGGAAAATGTGCCTGCCGTATACCAAACGGGAAAACCTGGATCCACAGGGCATGGGGGCAAGCAGGGGTTTAGTGAAAGGGTTTAGGGGGCCATTGGAAAGGTTTCCTCAGATCCTCCTCACTGAAGAATGGGAAGCTAAATCAAACATTTTGGTTCCTTGCTGAGGTTTTTTATTGTTATTTTTATTTTACTCTTTTGGTGGTGAACTATACTTCTGAAAACCACTCTGAGTTATTCTAAGGCAACACTTGTTTGATAAGGAAACAGAGACACCATTAAAGCCCTTTGTTACCCTGGTGGTGGTGGTTGCCCCTGCATTTGCTGTTCTGTTTTGGGTTTGGTTGTTTTTTGTGTTTTTGCTTGTTTTTAATGAACATACTGGTATGTAAGTGCTCTGGGGGGAATTCATGATGCTGTGATTAGTGAAAAGCTAAATAAGATTTATGAGTTACAATTGAATCTGCCCCTACCAGCCTGGAGACACTTCCCGTCTGGTTCTGAAGTACTGCTGGCACTTTTAGTGCTTTTGTTTTAGTTTCCAATCTCTGAACACATGAAAAAAAATATTAAAAGTTCTGAGGGCGAGGGTGGGAGACAGTCCACAAATCCCAAAGATACACATTAGCACCAAAGGAAAGCAGTATGGCGTAAGCAGTTTAAAAATTCAGAAGTGAAGCGGGTCAATCAGCTCGTTTTTGCTGAGTACTCTTGCAATTTTCATTTACCCACTCTCATTTTCCTGATAGGTCACTGACCTACAGCTTCACAAGGCTACTCAACTAAAAGCTCCCAGGGTAGCCTAACATGAACGGCTGATCTTAAATCAGTATGCCATGCTACTGTCCTCCTCCCAAAGATCTCAGGACTACTCAGTAACAAAGTCAAGAATTAGGCCCTTCCAAATTGACCAATGGGAAAAAAATTTTAGATTCCAAATATCACCTGGTTCTTGACCCAGGAGAGCTCAAAACAGATCTCAACTTAGAACTGTTATTTACAGTGGCCAGGGCTCCCTGCCTCACCTTCCCCCACCATCCCCACAGCACAGTATAGACGCTTTCTTCTGGTGTCATATCCTGCATACAATGCCATAGACAGTCCTATTGAAAATTTGTGTCCCTAGTCCAAAGAAAAGCAAGTCAAATAGTGAGTAATATCTAATGAGAAAAACTACCTCGTAGGTGAAGGGTTAATCCCTGGTCAATGTTAAGCCACTCTGCTGAGAGTACTAATAAGTGTATGACTTGGTGCCAATGAGGGTGGCCCTTCTCTTGATGGGAACAGCCAACCCTTAGGAACTGGACTGTCAACACATTCTACCAGGGCAGCGATCAGCCAGCCAGAAGAAAGGGAAAGGGTCTGAGAAACCGTGGTAACCAAGTCTCGCTGGCACTCTATAAAAGGGTGACGGGAACTGCCACAGCCACGGAAAGAATGCTAATGAGCTTAGGGCAACTTGCAAAGAGTGGATCTGGAAAAGATCCCCCCAACCACCAGCAGCCCTAGGGAGCACTTGCTTGTGGGCACCCTGAGGCTATGACCGCAGCCTTCATTCACAAGGAAGACCCTAAACACCACAGCATTTTCCCTTGTGTTCATCGGCTCACAAACGCTTCTGCCTCCACGTTCTTAGAAGCAAAGCAATCACATCTAGCCTATCTGCCTAGAAAGTCAAAGTTTTCAAAGGCTTTTAAAAAAACATTTGGCACCTTTAAAAAAATCTCATTCTAAAACCTGAATGGTAAACAGCTCTAGGAATCAGCATGAAATGTTCTAAGTGTTCTTCGCCGATTCACGTAAATTCACCATTCCCCTCTCATCAGAATTTATTCTGACTTTCAGAGAGCATATTTTCAGGAGGCTGGAAACCCTGATGGGCCATCATCCGTGTGCAACCACGTTCTTAACGATGGAGATTTAATCTTCATTCTCTGAGAAGGCTGGCAACAGTGACGGTGTGCTCCTCTGGAATTCACGCTCAAAACTCTAATTCTTCTTTCTAACGAGAGCTTTTCACCCATTTCCAAATCTCAAGTGCCCAAATGAGACAAGAAAACAAAAAATTGTAACTGTGATGTGGAAGCATAAAGGCCTTTGTCCTTTTCTCTTCTGTGTGTCTTCCTCACCACACTTCGTTCCGAAAAACACTCTGATCTGAAATCGGATGAAGAGGTAGGACGGGGATAGGGAGGGCCCCATAGAAAGATGGGAGCTACCCAATTGTTGAGTGGAGCAATAAGTTCACAAATGTTCTTGGTATTGTTAAAGAGTAATTAATTATTCTAAAATAAGAGAGCCATAAATGTGTCAGTAATGACACACTGCTATAAAACAAGGTTTATGATTATTACAACTCTGGGCACCTGAGGTCCATTTAAAGAAAAATAGTTAAGATAACAATGCCGGCAGTTAATTCTCAGACCTGACAGCATTCACCAAACTCTTTAGTTGGGGATGTCTTCGTGGACAAGCGAGCTGTGTGATTGCACAAGGCTCCACATTTATAAGGGCCTCACGCTTTGTTTAATGTCCTGTTATTGCAGTCCTGAAATTCTTAATCATTTCTGAAGAAGGAGTCCTGCATTCACATTGCCCTGGGTTGCCACAAACGATGTCCTCAGTGCTGTCCTTTGGTTTCTAGATACTAAATTTACCTACAATTCCAAAAATATTGGCCCTAACTCAATCTCTATATATTTTTTTAAATTTGCTATGTCTTACTCAACAATTATTATTAATATAACAACCAGGTAAGCATCCTGGAGAAGTCTTATTTCCTATTTTTTCTTATTTTCAATTATCCAAATCAATGCTGCCCAGGCTACAAATGGACCTGTAGTTTTCTATTGTGCTTAAAATGCCATTTCTCTGATAAAAAAAAAACTCAAATAAAAGCCATTGAATTCTGCCACTCAAAAGGAATGCACTGCAGCCTCTCAATTCATCCCAACTGCTGGATAATGTAAATCCGTGTTCCCATAGTTGCCCAATTTCAACCACAACACACAACCAAGCCAGACAAATCCTCTGCAATTCTTTCTAGTAGGGAGAATTCAGAGAAAGATTTAAGAAATCCTCATTTTCAAAGATGCCAGCTAAAGAAACACAGTGTAAGCATTTTGTGTTCCTGAAATGCTCTGTGTCCATAGTGATCAGGTAGAGAAAAGTTATTTCAAGTTCAAATATAACCTAGTGATTGCCACATGGGGCAGAATCTTTCCACCCCTAGACTCCAAAAACCCAATCAGACAAGTGGCCGTAATCTGACTCCCGGCACACTGGGAGCCGCCAGCAGGCAATGAGAGCCGCACTCTGGCCAGGGAAGGCATGAGTGACAGACCCGCAGCAAGGCGGTGGGGGTAAGTCCTTCTTTGCCTTAAGGGAGCAATGCTCTGGGCCAAAAGATGAAACTCTCACACTTGTGTTACAGTGATTTGTGCCTTCTCCAGCAGAATCTAGGAAGAAACTGTATGGCAGGTGGGTAGTTCTCTAGATAAGAGTACTGAGTATATTCCTAAGAGAAGCATAGAGAAGGTGCAAGAAAAGGAATGCTTTGTTGCAAAATCCTCCATATATGTTCAAGATGGGGGCGGGGCAGGAAATTGGCCCTATGGAGGTAAATCTATCTGCAGTATTTTTCATCAGAGAAATGACTCACTGAGGGGCTCAGCCGTCTAGGAGTGAATCAGCCTGGGTGTTCAACTAGAAAGAAATGTGTCCCTTTCAGTACAATCTGGGCAGATCAACAAGCCCCCTTTGTTCAGGGGCAAAAGAAGTTAAACAGCTGGTGCTGGTGCGTTTCCAGTGAGTGTGAACATTGACGATAACAGCAGGGGGCTATGAGGGCTCCTGGGGTGAGCACCACAGGTAGTGCTCACAGTGCTTTAAGGCCACAGGTAGGCATATGGTGCTGGGAAACTTGGGGGTCGCAGCCCACTGAGATAGTCAATCTGCTCTGGAAGGTGATCAGATTTTGTGGGTTTTCAAAAAAAGCTAAATGCATTCTTAAGGAGTATAATCTGTTTCAGTTTTATAGAGCGAGGGGGCGACCTGTTTTGTTTGGGGGGGGGGTGGTTGGCTGATGAACATTTGAAGCTGTAAAAGCAACTGAGTTTCTTAAATTAGGTCCCTGGAGAGCTGGAGAGGTAGACAGGTAGATGAGAATGAGAGAAAGAGCGGAGAGCAAGAGCGCGGGGAACTGGGGAAAGTGAGGGAAGAAGGGGTGTAGCTGGGAGGCGGCCTTTTCCCACGGCCCGCCCCTCCCGGTGATCTCCTGTGCTGCTGAAAAGGGACCTGCACTCCCTGCCTACCCCGTGTCCGTAGCTTTCTGCTCGGTCCGCTTCCCTTTTCCCACTCAATCTGGCCACAGACGACCAGCACCTGTGATAGCACCCAGCCCCTTGCCGTCCCAGCTACAGCCGTGGGCTGCTGGTGAGTTCGGAAGCCACCCTCAGAACTCCTTCTTTTTCAGTTTGCGAATTATGTGAGTTTCTCTCCCTTTGGAATATTTTAAGGTCTCTCTCAGGGCACCTTACCGGTCCCATTCCAAGTGCTGTTTTTGTCTCTTTCTCGTCTCTTCCTCTGGGGGATGTGATGTCACTGCTCTCCCAGCTGGGGTTTTTTTGTAATTACGTGCTTCATTTAGGGACTCTTGGGACAGGCCTGGCTCTTCCCTCTCCTTCTGGATCCACCTAGGCTTGAGCAAGAAATGGATTTCTCTTTCCAACTCTGAAGGAAAGTCCCATATCAAACCAGAGGCTGAGTGGAGCCCCTAAAGGTCAAGAGAGAGTTCCCCTCGCCCTTTTTGGCACAGCACGCCACACTGCCCATGCAGAACCAAGGCTGCTAGGGACACTGATCGATGGGTGGTGGGGGGTGGATCTCCCTCTCAGTAATATATCAAGGGGTAGGCTGCAATAACTCTAATCTGTTAAAATGCTTGTCTTTCTTGCCTAACTCTTTTTATAGTCCCCTGTGATTAGAGTCTCAGCTAATGCTCCTTCACTCTTGCTGCTATCACAGGCAAAGTCTTGAATAATAGAGAAATTGAGTAATTGCTCTCCACCCCCCAAGGGGAATCCTGGTCATTTCTTTCCAGTATGAGCAGCTGCCATTCACATCCCCAAAGCCCATCCCCTCCCATCCCCAAAGATCTGCAGACAGAAAGAGGCAAATAGGGGGTTAGAAAGTATCTTCATTCGCAAAGGCTGCCTTTCCGCTCCCATCCTCCCTCACCCCCTTCCCCCTCCCCAACACACAAGCTTCCCCAGCTAAAGGCCCTGGAAAGCCGTCTTCCAAGGCCAAGCGGAAGTAAGAAAAGGCCACTAAGAAGACACTAGAGAAACCCCGCTTTCCGCGGAGGCTGCTGCTGCAAGGACCTGTGTGTCCCTTGCCCCGCCCCCTTTACACGCCCCCCTTCCCAAGCTCTGCCTCAATCGCCGTCAGCCGCGTTAGGCTGCCCCTGAAAAGTGGGCAGAGCGCCTGGGGCGCTGCTTGTATACGCCGGCCTCCATGAACCCTTTCGGAGTTTATCTGGGGAGTAACGTCAGGAGTTGAGAGAGGGTCCAGCACCAGGAGGCACTGCCCCCTAACACTGCAAAAGCACCGCGGAAGCCAGGATGCAATTTTCGCAGCAGAGCTGGGACACGGAGGACTCCAGCGGAGGGGGGTCTGAGCTGATGGGCTGCTCTGTTTGTCCACGGGCCAGGGCCCGGGCGGCTGGCAACCGCCTGGGAGTGGACGTTCTCCCCCACCCCACCCCCCGCCCTTTGAGAGGTGCCTAGAGTCTGGACAGGAGTAGTTAGTGCACAACGTCCCTCGGACTCCTCCCTCTGGTTGGGGAGAGGAAGGGGTATCCCCGTCTCTGCTAAGACCCTGTGTGATCCCATGAAGGGTCCCAGGGGTACCGCCCCTGCCTGTCACCATGAAGTCCCCACCCCGCAAGAAATTTACCCTCTGCAATGACAGACTTCCAGCATTCCAGGCTTCCTAGCAGAGCTTCCCTTAATCCAGTATCTCTCCTTGGGAAGAGTGGAGGGCGAATCAGTGCTCCATAAATCCATTTGCAGAATGCCGTTTTGAGCAATAAACAAAACTGAAGAAGACTTCCTTGTTTTATTGCTTTATGTTCAAAATATAAATAGCATATAAAAGCACATTGAAACTTAAAACTTGTTCCGGGGACTGCAAAGTAAATATCTTTTATTCTTAATTCTTCAAGGAACTTGATTTAGACATTCTCCTTTCTAGCATCAATTCAGATAACTTTCCAGTGAAACTGGAGTATCTTTTAATATTAATTCAAAGGAGCCTAGAATAAAAATATATGGACTAGTGGTTAAAGAGACTATTACTTCATTAATTATAGAGATTTTCCAGAAGCATTCTTTGCTGGTATGCAAATAAACTTTTGGGGGGCCACCCCCACAATAGAACAGGAGCACATGCCTGGTGTCTACCTCACCCGAATTCACAGACCCTGGCTTGGTAACTTCTGATGCTGATTTTGTTTTCTTTTTAGTAAGTGTGGACCTTTGTGTAGACGCGAGGACATCATGGTGGCCTTCAAAGGGGTCTGGACTCAAGCATTCTGGAAAGCAGTCACAGCAGAATTTCTGGCTATGCTCATTTTTGTTCTCCTCAGCCTGGGATCCACCATCAACTGGGGTGGGGCGGAAAAGCCCTTACCCGTGGACATGGTCCTCATCTCCCTTTGCTTTGGTCTCAGCATTGCGACTATGGTGCAGTGCTTCGGCCACATCAGCGGCGGCCACATCAACCCTGCTGTGACGGTGGCCATGGTGTGCACCAGGAAGATCAGCATCGCCAAGTCTGTATTCTACATCGCAGCCCAGTGCCTGGGCGCCATCATCGGAGCCGGGATTCTGTACCTCGTCACACCTCCCAGTGTGGTGGGGGGCTTGGGTGTCACCATGGTAGCATCTTTAACTCTTATTTTCAAACTAGGACTTCAAACTTCTTGCAGACTCTTCAATGACACCCTGGTGGCCGGAGAGGCCTTGCAAATTTATTCCTGGAAATTTCTGATGATTCTTTATAAGGGTGAAAACTGATTCTGACAACTGTGCATGTGTCCTTATGAAATCGTTGTTGGCTACTGAGTGACTTGATTATTACTAAGGCACAGTAGCACAACATTGTGTTGGTTTTTCCCTCTCTCTCTTCCCCCCACCCCAATAACTATACCAACTATATATTTAGCATAAGACATTTTTATTACAATCATTTGTTGGTTCACTAGCAGAAGAAACCATTTATTTCTTGTGATGTTTGTGAAATTTTAAATGATCAGTGTAAGGGATCACACTTTAAGAAGTAAATTGTCATTTGATCCTGGCTTGGTGCTTAGCTGATTAGGGCTATCATTTGTGAGCTCAGCACCAGAGTTGATTTAAACCACACACACACACACACACACACACACACAAAGTTTCAATTTTAATTGAAATATGTATTGATTAATTTAAATCTAATTGATGGTAATCATTGCTTATAAAATTGCAAGACTCTCAAGAAACTCTTTTATAAGTTAAGTACAATAGTGGCATATTTCCCTTCCTTTGTAGAAAAAAACATTTGACACAAGCTCCTGCTTGGTCACTGTCAAAATAATTAATTGTCTATTTTGGCCCCAAATATGTAGAAATATATTCTTCTTTTTTTGGGGGGGTGGGGTTAGGGTCTCAATTAGAAGTAGAAGACTCAACCATCATTTTTTATTACAATTTACATTCAGTGGTATTTTGTATTAGTTTCACATGTACAGGATGGTGGTTAGACACACATGTACTTTACAGAGTGGTCCTCCTGGTATTTCAAGTACTCACCTGGCACCACACATAGTCATTACCATATTATTGACTATATTCCCTATGCTGTACTTTACCTCTCTGTGACTATTCTATAACTACCAATTCATACTTCTTAATCCCATCACCTTTTTCGCCACAGCCCCCCTGACCTTTGTCAACTGCCAGTCTGTTCTCTGTATCTATGAGTCTGTTTCTATTTTTTTTGTTTGTTTGTTTGTTTGTTTTGTTCTTTAGATTCCAAATGTAAGTGAAATCATATGGCAAAGATCAGTTTTTACACTGATAAAATGTGCCTTTCACAATGATATGTTATTATAGAAATGTGTTCTTGCTTCAAGAACTCAAATGCAGTATTTTTTTTCTAGGTTCACGGAAATCTCACTGCTGGTCATGGTCTCCTGGTGGAGTTGATAATTACATTTCAGTTGGTGTTTACTATTTTTGCCAGCTGCGATTCTAAACGGACTGATGTCACTGGTTCAATAGCTTTAGCAATCGGATTTTCTGTTGCAATTGGACATTTATTTGCAGTAAGTTTCCAAGTCCATTTAAATAATTGATCCTTTTCATTTATCCTTACCCTGAAAATGGCCTGAAAATGTGGTGTTTTACAGCTGTAGTTCTTTAGAATACAACCATGTCTGTCCATTGTAAATGATTGTTTTACTAACTTTTCAATGATCATGTTGATGGGTAGCTAATATCTTGACAGTTCTGAATTCCTTGGTTACCATTGCACATGGTAGCAAATTTCAATGAATGATACCTGTCAGTAGACCTGTCTCAGCAAAGTCTGAAGTCTTTTTCTTTTTTCCTGTAGATCAATTACACTGGTGCCAGCATGAACCCTGCCAGATCCTTCGGACCTGCAGTAATCATGGGAAACTGGGAAAACCATTGGGTAACTATCATACTGAGGACAGTTACCCATGAAGCGCTCTTCCTTTTTCTCATTATTTTGCTCACTAGTTTCTCATACTTCTTCCCAACCCTGACCCCATACTTTATTACATCTTTCATGCACACTAGGGAGAGACTAGCACAGATCCATTTCAAAACATCTCCTCTAATATCTGTTCTGAGCACTCAGTAATAGCCATTTTTAAGCGCTGCTCTGCGCACTGTATCTGCCAGACTACAGCCGAATACATTGTACAGGGAGGTTGCCTGTGTGGAACAAGTTAAAATCAGTGAAGTGAATACAGTGAATAGTGCAGTGAATACAGTTTTTAAATAATTGAAAATAAAGCCTTCCTGACAATAACAGAAAATATACTTGGGAAAAAAAGGTGAAGAAGAAAAAAAGAATGAAATTCTTAAAAGCACTGCCATAGCAAAAATATTTACCTTTTTTGTTTACAAAGCATGAACCCAATGAATAGTATGCAAGTTGGAAACATTTGAACTGCAGATGGTGAGGAATAAATGGTGCAAATGTTTATCCTATTATCACCATAATCATAGCTGGAGAAATAAATGACTTTCAGAAAAGGCATACTTTCAGTCTCACGTCCAACCTACTTATTGCTGTGGTGGCGATGCTTCTGGAGAGAAGGGGTAGACATTTTTAAATATCACAACCAGTTCCATTTTAATTGTTTCCTACAAAACTGAACTTAAATTTCTTGAATGAGTAATGTAGCAGCTTTGAAGGCCACTCTCTTACAATAATCAATAAAAATATGAAACATGTAAGCAAGCCTCAGATGGGGCTAAACCTTATTGTCATTTATATGTTGTGAATGCTATTTTATAATTTTTAATTTATGAATATAAGAGAATATTACTTGTGTTTTACTCTCAGGCATCCAGTGGTTATTGACCCAGTCACACCCACTCAACCATGGTATACATTGCAAATAAGAAGAAATTGCATCACTGTGACGTGCATTCAGTTCTAAGGAAAGTGTACCGAGTTGTTACAAGTAATCCACACCATTAAATAACACCCCTTGAGTCAGTGTTCAGAAGCATGATTTAGGGCCCAGACAGGCAAAGACTCAGTCAGATGAGACATACTGCTCATCAGAGTGGTCATTTTGCCACTGATCTTTCCAAATTTATGTCTCAAAATGTTAGCCACGTTAACAGGAATGGAAATTTTTTATGGATGATAAATATACAACTTTTAATTTAACTTACTAAATTCAAACTACTTTTATAATTAAAATTTAGAAAAATGATAACTTTATTTAATTTATGAGGACTTTAAAATGTGGATAAAATATGTTTTTATTAATTACTTGTCAGTTATGGTAAACTAGTGATAATTTAAAGAGCAGAAAAATTCTTAGTTTGTGAATCAAAGTTTCTCCCTGTTAGTTTACAATAAACCTAATCCTACTGAAAGTGAATGTACATTTTGTAGCAATGGTGAGTGAAATTTAGAACTAAGTTAAAGTATATCTGCAGGTAGATAGATAGACTAGAAATAACACCAAAATATTAATGACATTATTTTAGTTTTCTTTTTATACCTGCCTGTATTTTCTATATTTGTAAGAATAAAAATTCTTTACCTTTACAGATTTTGAAAGTTACTTTAAAGTACATTGTGACTTTGTTTTGAAATAGCAACTTGAAATTCAGATTTGTCTATTTCTGACAACACGCAGCTGGAAGTTTCATTTGAAGGTGTTTCGGAGAAGTGTTGTGACTGTTTAGCCGTCCCTCGTCTCCCTTGTGGGACTTGTAGCTTGTGGAATAGAACATATCTAAGGAGATCTTACCAAAGGAACAAAGAGGAAAAACATTTGGAGGAGGGCTGCTTTGAAAGAGCGTGGAGAAGATAAACTCCCACATGGTTTCTTTCATGTTCAAGATAAGAAACTTGGTTCTTGTAACCACTCTACCAACAGTTTCCCTGTTAAGTATATGTGTTCGGCTTTAGCTTGAAGTTTGAAATTTCTTTAGATTTTGCAATGAGGCTTCTGATATTAACTTCCAGAAAGTGTTTTAAGCCAGAATCACTCATCACATTTTTTTTTCAAATGAGAGAAGTCTAGTGTAGTGGAAGGCGGTATAGTAGCTCAAAAGAGTGGTTTGAACACAGACAAACCTGAAATCCCAGCTCAACCAGTTGGTAAGCATAAAATCTTAAGCAAGTCTCTTACCTTCTTAGAATGCCAGATTTCTTACCTGTAATATGGAAATAATAACAATATCTAGCTCAAAGGCTATTGTTAGAATTAAATGTTATGAGAAAAGTACTAAGTACTGCTGGCTCAGAGCCAGTGCTCAGTAAACAGGGTTGCTGTTGCCTGTGTGAATCTGCTGAATGTATGTCTAATATTCTACAGCACACATGTGCTCTAAAGCAGATGTTGAAGTTTATCCAAAACTCAAAACTTAATTCATTCCAGACACATAAGTAATATGATAAAAAGCTTCCATTTATTGAGTTAAAAATCCTATGGAATTGCTTGGTCATCCTCAGCTAACCATCATTCATAAACTCAGTCCAGGGTTTTTCACGAAGTCACCATCATAAGAAACAAAAGGATGAAATCACTCAGCAAGAACAGCGATGAACAAACCACGAGGTTTTCAATGAAATCAATTCACCAGACTTTAGAGAGGAAAAGCATGTAACACAAATGATGATGACTTAAAGCCAGCCTGGTCACATGCATTTTTAAATTGTCCAGGAAACATGGAATGAGACCGGGTACTGTGCAAATGGGACTATTAAGTATTTACTTTATAAGTACTTATTAAATTTCAATTCAGTTTCAGCTTAATCCTGACACCAGAGGAGGTATGTATTATTATAATCCCCACTATGCAGATGAGGAAATTAAGGTTTAGGAAGTTAAGTAACTGATGCAAACACCAAAGCTAAGTGGTGGAGCTGGGACTCCAGCATTTATCATGCTGTATTGAATAACTAAAGCGTCAAATGATAAAATCTTCACTATGATCTTGATTATGCAGAAAACTAATGTAAAATGGCAATATTAAGAAAGTAAGATAAGTATCCTCCAGAAATTCTATTTTTTTTCTATTTTAGTTGAAGAATTCTCATGTCTGCTTAATATGTGGTACCACCAAAGAGGACCTATCCTTACTTTAAGGATTATCAAAAAATGGAAAGAAAGTAATTAGTGAAAGGAAGAGAAAACACTCTTTCTTGCTTTCTGTTCAAAATGCCATTTAACAGTATATGGATTTCTGAGATGGATTTCATGTATTTTCTTTTTTTAATAGTTTATTTGTATTGTATTTTTACCATTACCACTTATCCCCTTTATACCCTCTTCTACCTCCACTTACCCCCCTTCCCCCCACAATCACCACACTGCTGTGCTTGTCCATGAGTCCTTTTTCCTTCTTGCTCGATCCCTCTACCCCCAACCCCTCCCCAGAGTGTCAGCCTGCCCTCTATGAGTCTGTCTCTTCTTTTCAATTCTTCCCTTTTTTATGTATGACTCATGATTCACGACCCTCTCTTAATTTAAGCCAGATAAGTTCTATATTCATGAGTTGTGCAAAAGAATACTTTTTCTCTACTTAAACTCTATAACTCTTCCATTTTTCTCCCAGATATATTGGGTTGGACCAATAATAGGAGCTGTTCTTGCTGGTGGCCTTTATGAGTATGTCTTCTGTCCAGATGTTGAACTCAAACGTCGTTTTAAAGAAGCTTTCAGCAAAGCTGCTCAGCAAACAAAAGGGAGCTACATGGAGGTGGAGGACAACAGGAGTCAGGTAGAGACTGAGGACTTGATTCTAAAACCTGGAGTGGTGCATGTGATTGACATTGACCGAGGTGAGGAGAAGAAGGGGAAAGACCCTTCGGGAGAAGTGTTGTCATCGGTATGACTAGAAGAAAGCACTGAAAGCAGACAAGAACCCTTAGAACTGTCCTCAGATTTCCTTCCACCCATTAAGGAAACAGATTTGTTGTGAATTAGACACATGCAGGTTTGTTGTTTCATGCCATTTTACTCAGTCTAGATAATAAGTATTTCCTTATTTACGAAGGAGGAATGGAAGAAACCTATTGTGAATCCCAAATCTAAAAATGAAATCTTTTAAAAGTATCTCCAAAGCACATATGTACCTAGTGTTTTAGTTGCCACTCATTAATAATGAATTTAAAATGTGTATTAGGATTTGTTTAAGACTTGCCTAACAGAAAATAGAGACAAACATATCAGCTTATTCCTCCTCTACCAGGAAATTGGTATTGTCAACCCTCACTTGAGTATTTATTCCATTAAATCAAGTTTATCAATGGCAAAGTACAGTATGTCACAGAGTGGTGCACATTCAAGAAAGGAAATACAACAAGGTTTTTTATGGGCAGTCCCTTATTTATAAACTACCTCGGCATAAGAATATATTAACAAGGGTTATTGCTAATAAATGACTTCCACTTATATTTCAAATACCAAACTTTAAACCCAAACTCCAATTCATAATATTCCTTCCTCCTCTTCAACACCCAAGACAATGTGAAACTAAAGTCCAGAAATTGGAAGAATGTTAAGAAACCCTGTATATTCATTAGTTCCACCTAAGAAAGAATCCAAATCATAAGAGACACCCATTGAGATTCAAGACAAACAGATTCATAAGATCTTACGGGGTGGGAAGAAAACTCCCACCATACAAAAGTCATAAGGACAGAGGAAATCTGACGTCTGCTCTCAAGTCGTTGCTCTGTTTTCAGTGCCCGTCCTCAGATCCACCACAGGAGGTAAATGATCTGAACTTTTAACCACTTAACCACTTTGCTTATTTTTTAAAATTTATTGACAAAACTGGGGTTTTTGTTTGTTTGTAACTTTGGTTATCTCTATTAAAACATTAGTTGAGATATATTTTTGATAACAAGAACATAACTAGGTGAGTCTGGACTTTTTGTTGATCGTTAAGTTCTGTCCACTCTAGAAAGCATGAACTGGTCCTGCCCAGCCCCAATCTGAGGCTCTCTCACGTCTCATGAAATTAGTGGATTATCTTCACTGTGCATGTAATGATATTTTAATGAAGTAAAATGCACGAGAGACAAGGAGCAGCATGGTTGTAAAATAAAAGGACGAAGACATGAAAACATGCTGTATTCAAAGCTGACTAGGTGACCAGCCTTCCATTTGTAGGAATATTGTACATAACCCAACACATTTTATAAGTATTTGCGTTAATGACTCATTTACTTGTCCAAATAGTATGTTTTTCCTATACTGCTTTGCCCTATGTCAGTAGAATGGTCTCTGGAAGCCCCAGTTTCTGTCATTTTAACTGTGTAGTCTAGTCTTTACCTTAGATAAAGAGCTGCAAATGTCACTTTCATTGAACAAAAGCTAGTAGTAAAGCAAAACCCTCTCACTGCAAACAATGGCTTGTAAATAGCTGATCATCAAGGCCTTTCTTCTCTCATGCTCTCCTCTCTCACTCTCTGCTCTTTCTTCTTGCCACTTCTTAGTGTTAATGGCAGTTGTGTGTCTAGAGCAGTAAGATAAGGGACCACTATTAAACCTGATTCTCTTCAGTGCTAGAAAAGTGATGTGTGAGATGCCCAGAGAGTGATCACACCAGTGTAGTGCCTGGGAATGCCACTGGCATTCTTTTACAGCAGGGGCCAAAAGAAATCCCAGGCCCCTTTCTCAGGGGGGTGGCCAACCACTCCCCCCGCCAGTGATGCACACCACTTCCTGTTTGGGAACGGGAAGCATCTATAGGAACTAGATGCAATTCTAAAGATGGTTTATGCCAGCTTTTTTAAATGTTTGCATGTACCACTAAAGACTTAAAATCAATGGTGATTCTGCTCAAAGGATCATTTGTGAACATATTAGTTCAAAAATCAGTTAATGAGGAAAAGTTGAACAGATCTTCCCAATACACTTACAATTTATTGGCTCATAATCATTCTTATTCAGCCATATGTTTTACTTCTTATAAATCACTTTTCCACTCACTTCCAGTTACAGCATTCAATAAGTTAGTGCTAAAAAAAAACATAAATGATGTGTTTGTACTTTGTCTTTCAGCAGCTAACAGAATGCCTAGCACATAGTAGGTATTCAAAGCAAGTGTTAGTTAATAAAAATATACACATTTTATTTGGGATTTAAGAATATGAATAATTTTCTCTTAATCTTTATTTTGCTCAATATTTTATAAAAGCATGATTTCAAGGACTACTAAGGGAAGGCAATATAAATGTAAAACTGTAAAATGTATTTTTCCATCCTACAATTTTAGAAGCATGAAAGCTTTATCCCTTTTTTTTCCTGCATGTGAGACAACATATTTTGTATTTCACTCAAGGCTCTGCCAGTAAAAAGTAATGAAATTGTACCTTTCTAATGACATCCATGCAGCAGGGGTCTATTGCCTTGTGGATGGCACCAAATTATCCAAGTGTATTAGGAGACTAGGGCTTTTCCTTTAATCCCTTCTTATTAATGAAGTGCCTCGTGCTGCTCCCAGGAGAGTGCCACTGACAGATATACAGAAAGGAGATCAGAGAGAAAAAAACTGGAAGGACATAAATGAATTATACCCAGCCAGGAAACGATGCCAAGTGCCTCTTCCCTAAGGAAAAGTACAAGCGCCCCCAAATTGCAAGGTGGTCCCTACCCTGAAAATGCTTATAGTTTATCAAAGAGTTCCAAGGATAAGAGTCATTTTTTAAGTTTTCAAGGACTTCTTAATAATTGGAGCCCAGAATTTGAACGAATGTTTTCATTGTTAAGACAGCATTTTCTTCAAAAAGTCCTAAATTTTTACCCTGGAAGGAAGTATTTTCTTGTTCCTAAGGAGTGGCCTAAATTTAAGATTTCTACACTTGGCTTCTGCCATATGATGCTTTTCATGAATTCCTGTACTTTCTATAGTCAAACCATTTTCCTACTGCAGTGATAGATGCTAGCTAGAGCTGCCTCTCAGTCTTGAAGACTTTACAAGATTGGAAATATTTGAATAACGGTGATGGAATTAAGCTGTCAGGTTAATTATTAGAGGACTGATTCCAAATAGCACAAAATAGTCTTCTTAGACCGTGAAAGCAGGTAACTCACTGGTTTAAACTCCCAAATAAACAGGAAAATACTGAAAGAGTAGCAAATTCAAATGCTGAAGTTAAATCTGGTGAGGCCCTTTGTTGCAACATGTTGGCATCATCCCCACTTGTGAACATGTGACAAAGAAGTTGCCTTTGTGACAACCGAAGATGACACTGGGAGCTCAACAGACCACCTTCTGAAACACTATAAAGCCAATATAATTCTCATCATAAATGCTATAGAATTTGCAAATTCAGAATATTTTATACCTGAAAGTAATAGCAATTCTGTCCTTCATGATATGTTCATGGCATCGAAATTATTAGGAAGGTGTGGTTACTACCTGAAAAGCAGGACAAAACTCACATTCTTTGCCACAAGTGTTCTCTCTCTGCCTTGGCATTGCAGTACCACACAGATCGCCCCAGAACAGCAGGAACTCTTGAAGCCTGTAATTTTTCTGAAATATGCATACATGGAAGATATTTAATTCAGGGCTCAAACCTGTGGCTGCTCACTTTTGCAAATAACGATAGTTTATAAAACATTATCAAATAAATGTTATACAACATATGTGATGAACATTAAATTCAAGAGCACTTATAGTGTTACTCATGCATGTTAAAATCCAAGAGCTAAAAAGTATATTTAATTTATAGAACCCATTGGAATACATTTCTAGATTCTCTTCAGGATTAATTAAATAAAGAGGCAATTTATGAAAATACATAAACAACTATTTATCACTTTTATGACCCAAATCACAATGAAATTGTAATTCATGATAAACTGGTGAGAATAAGCTGAACATATGGTTATATTCACAATAATTTATTAACTGAAATGTTATTCCAGTGTTAGAGCTAATGTTAAGGAGATTTAAACTGTAATGTCTAATATTTGGAACAATCTATTAAAGTATTAGCATTGTGGTTGGTTTCCATAAATTATGTTGTATCTCATAATACTAAGCTTGTGCAAATAAACTTTCTAATGTTTTAAAAGGTAAGCATTGTGCTTGATGATATTTGAAAATTTATTCATAGTTTTTGCAAGTGAAATCTTTTTTTAAGATTTATTTATTTTTAGAGAGAGGGGAAGGGAAGGAAACAGAGAGGAAGAGAGATATCCATTAGTTGCAACCAACTGGAACCCAGCCCACAACCCAGGCATGTGTCCCAACTGAGAGTCAAACCAGCAACCTTTTGGTTTATAGCCAGCACTCTATTCACTGAACCACACCAGCCAAAGTAAAAGTTAGGTCTTAAACGTATCCTTTAGAGTGACCAAGAAGGTATATTTGAGTATAATCAACACCAAATGAAATGTTGGGTGAGATCCATATAATAAAATGTATTTTTGAGAACCTGCAAAGGGCATATACACTGTGTTGAGCTCTGATGTAGACAGTGAAAATTAGGTTTTCATGGGCTTAATTCTAAAAGTCCACATCTAGGCAAAATAGGCCATTGAATATCAGTTATCATTATAGTGATTCTAAAAGTGAAGACAAACAACTATGACTCAAATGTGTGTGGTATTTTCAAATAGATGATCTGTCCTTAGGGCTTTTGGCAGATTCTGCCTATGCAGATGGATGATATAGGTACAATGAATGCTGGTTCACTCCCTTGGGTTCTTGGTTTGAGGCGCTCCTCAATTTTGATGGGAAAGGATTGAGGACAATCACTTATGTAGTATGACCCATCAGATGAGTAAAATTGATGCCTTTGGGGCCAGGTGGATATGAACTTCTCTTATAGCATCTGTCACATTATAGTAAAATTATTTGTGTAGGTTTGTCTTCCCTACTACATTCTAAACTCGTTAAGGGCTAAGATTTTGTATTATTTATTCTGTATTCCCCAACCTCAGTGTAGAGCACTGGGCTTGACATTTCACTGAGTAAACACCTGTTTCATGAATCAATAAAGAACTTAAGGACCATCTCACAACTTGTAGAAAATGGCACAAAGTATTATAACTCAATCTAGTTGCTTTTGCTATTATGTAGATATGTGCTGTATATTTGAAGTCTTATAATTCCAGTTAGGAACCTGAAATTAGCTCAGACACTAAAGGAAAATAAAAGGAAAATGCACAGAAAGAATGAAACACTAATTGGATTTCTAAAATTTATACCTAATGTGCAGGCAACAAGACATGTTTTCATTGCTATATTTATACAATGGCCAGATGTTAGATGAAATTTAGCTCAATGAGTATTTCAGCAAGAAAAGCATTTTAACAAGCATGGGAAGCCAGAGATATAAATGTCAGCCTGATTTTACATAATTATCCTGCCTGGAAAATATCCAAAACAATATGCCATCTGAATTAATTCTTACTATTTTTTAGTTTTTCCATTTCTTCATTCTTCAGGCTTAAGGATACATTGAGGACTCTAAAAATCTGAGTTGAATTGTGCCACCTCAACATGTACAGAAGTCGCTGGCATTAATGCTTGCAACCTTCATGCACAATACAGCAATGGTACATGGCCAGTGCTCAACAAATGTAAAGTGGATGGATGGATGGATAGATGGATGGATGGATGGATGGATGGATGGATGGATGGATGAATGTAAGAAGCACTCCAATCTGGAGGCATTAAGATAATCTCTGAACAAATGAAAATCAAAGCCTGCATTCCTTCTTCCCTTAAAGCAGTGGCCAAGGATCTAAATGGTAGAGGAGGAATGAATGGACTTGAATAATTATCAGTTATATAAAATGCATGTTAGATCTTGAAGGCTTATTGTGAGGTAAGTATTACTACCATTCTTATTTCCAAACATGAGAAAACCAAGTGTCGAGGTGATTAAGTAAATTACCCAAAATTATGACTAGTGGTAAAGCAAAAACTGGAACACACATTCTAATTAATCCCAGTCACAATGTTACTCCTCGAAATCACACAAGGTTATCCCCTTTATCTATCAGCAACATTTTCCATCAAACATATTTCCTTAAGTGGCAAGAAACATATTCTAGCCATACTAGGGAAAATCCTGAGTAAAACACCAACAAGGAGCAATCAACTGCATGCTACAGACCTCCTTAGGAAAGGTCACAAATAGGAGAACAGGGTGGACTGCTGCAATAACTTTACTTGAGGATACTTTGGGTAATTTAGAAAAGTTTTCATTGGTTTAGGAAAATATAAAGATCACTATTTAAGATATGTTTCATTTTGTCCAGAAAAGAGAGTTGAGAATTAATTACAAAGTTACTAATAAGTTCTTCCACATTTCAATAATGATGATGGTGATGATAATAATAATTCCTAACTATTGAACACTTACTCTATACCAGATGTATACTTTACACTGTGTACTTATTTGTCATAGAAACTTTATGAGGTAGTTATTGCTGCTACCCCCATTTATAAGTGAGGAAACTGAGGTTTAAGAAGGGTACGTAACTTGTTCAAACTAAAGGAGCTACTAAGTGGTGATGTGGGAATTGATCCCACACGGTCTGTCCAGAGACTCTACTCTTAGCCACTGCCGTCTATAATTTCTTACCTGTGTTGTTCTAAGCTTCCAATGGTCCCAGCTTTCATATCTGTTTTTTCCAAGCCTTTGACTTTTCATATCCAATAGAGATTGCAGTGTCTTTGAACCTCTCAGTTTTCCCGACTTAACCTCCTGTTATCATTTTGACCACCTCTGAAGGAAGATTTAAATATTCAAGTACAAATGCCACAAAGACAAATCAGCTAAACTTACAAAGCATTTTTGAAAGGGACTTTGAATAGCCAAGAAAACTCTTTTTTTGGTGAGCCTGGGTATGACAGAAACCTCTTACACAATATACCTTCCACTTTTTAACTCATATTTTCTGATTATTCTTTATCAAATTTGCCAATTTCTCTTTGCCTTTCATTGAGGCAAATAATATGTATGTTAATTCTTCTTTATCCATTAATCACCTAATCAATATACATACACTATTTTGTTCAAGATTATACAAAAATTTTAATGTTACATTTATTTAATATGGGAATCAATAAAATAGTGTTTGGCAAATAGATGAGCCTATAAAGTATACAGAATGTATTTTTTGAAAATCAAATAAAGGTATTTTTAAGTGGGCCAAGTTATAATATTCTTAAAATGTCAAGAGTTATGGGAAATAATTGAATAGAACAACCATTACCAGTACTTTTCCTTTCCTTTAATGATAAGAGAGAAATTTCATTTTTAAAATAGAGCTGAACACATCTCCCCATTTCCAAACTATAGAATTCTAGACTAAGTTTCCAAATATTTTGACTCAGACCCTCAGAAGATTAGAAAAACAAATCTTTAAAAATATAGAGATGCACAGCCAATGACCATGAAAAACATTTGTTTACATTTTGGGCCCCCAAAGGAGAAAGAAAGGGAAAGCGGGTGGGAGGGAGGCAAGTGGGTAGGAACCCCTTAGTAACGGCAAAGTGAGTGGAAATAGGCTCCCCATGCTCCTGCTCCCGCCCGGGGAGTTGCTAAGACAGCACTTACCCTGATTCAGAAAAGGTCCCTGTGCTAAGTCTGAGTGTTCTTGTCAGCTGTAATCAGTGCCCCCAATAAAACTGGGCTATGCATTGTATTCAACAAACATTTGTCCTCATCTCAATTTTAATTGTCAAAATGTCAGGCTAAGGGAAATAGACTCATTCCATGGAATAAAAGGACACTAAATCTTGATTTTCAGTAGCAAATACAGGATGCAAACAAGACCTTCCCATATCTTTCAAGAAGTCTAGCTTCTAAAATTTATTTCCTTAAGAAAGAAAAATTATGAGCCTAAATTTTCAGCACATGGCTCCTAGAAATGATTTGCCATATTAAACTACTCCAGGATTTCAATGTCAAAACTTATCACAAAAGACATAAGTTTTATCTTGTTGTTTCAAAAGCCGATCTTATGGAAACAGTCACAGAACTAAAGAATGAGAGAGGCTGAGATTTCTCTAGTGACCTGCAGTAAGGAAGGGTTGAGAAAAACTCAGCCTTTCTCAGCTGAAAAAATTCAGCCCTGTGGTGTTGGTACATTGTGGTTAAATCATTCATACTCTTTGAACTCTAATAAAAAATTCTCATCAAACAATGATGACACTTTCATTTCATCAAAGTTTAATCACAAGAGTATTGTAATTCTGATTTTATTCACCTCAGTTCAAATTGAAAGTAATTGTCAGACATCATTTTAACTCTAACCATTACATCCCTTCTTACATGTTCCCTCTCACATTATTATGCCCATTTTGTTCTCTAAGAGGCATATCTTTTTTTCTATTATTCAAGCAGTTTTAAAAGAACAAGGTCTCCTACTTACAAATAGTACACTTAAGGCCCATTTTAAAAAGCATTTGAGATCACTAATTAACATGAATGGAAGATGTTTCTTTGAAACACAAAGAGACACCAGGGATAGTAAATTCTGACTATAGAATTGTTTGATGTCGTAAAAACACTTAATTGCCTGAATTCTTGGTGGTTTCCAAAAATTTTTTCTTAGCAACCCCCAGATTGATGAACTTAAAATGCTTGAAAGCAGAGAGGTAAATATAAGTTTGTTTTATTTTCCTCCATTGACATTTTGGAAAAATAACTCTGCCTTAGTCATGAAGCATTCTGAGATTTGGGCTGAGTTGTGGGAGCAAGTTTACCCCGATTAAGACAGAGAGAGGTGAATCCTTCCTGCAGACAGCAGGTGAGTCCTAACCACCACTTTCGTGGACACATGAAGAACTATTAACAAAATTTAAGAGGACTGTGGGATTGGGAATAGTGTGTGTGTTGTATTTTCTGTGTCTTCCACAATGGGCGTGTCAGAATCAGAAGGAAGAAAATGAATGATATATTTAAAGAGACCTAAGAGGTCTGACAGATATATGGGTCAGAGGGGGACATGTTTCTCAGATTCTCTATTTACCTCTCTGTTTCTTTGTGTGTTAATAAACAATTGATTATAGTCTGAAAATAGGAAATTTTGTTGCCAGGTAGTGAGTA